TCCGCGGGCCTCCGGGCAATTCAGCCAGTCACAACCAGCAAAGGGACCTCGGGTCCTTGTCTGCGCTGCTTTAGACCTGCCTGTTTCTCCTGCCCCGGAAGCTCCATTGCCCAGGGTCCGTGATGGGCGAGAGGTCACCAAGCAAAGGCCCGCCTCAGCCAGGTCTCTGAGACACACACGGGGACAGGTGGGGCTGCCCTCGCTTCCCAAAGATACCCAGGCTTTCCTTTACCAAAATGTAAAGATTCGAGAGCTTCTGCTAGAACCATGGAGTCTATCCTTGCCACTCATCTCCCCCTCTTTCCTCCCAGATCCTGCAAACACGTGTGGTTAGTCCCGGCCTCAGCACGGTCTGGCCAGGAGGCCATGCTAGCTCCAGGCCAGGCCTCCGCAACGCGCCCCCAACCTGTGCTGGAGCGAAGCCTTCAGCTCTCCGGCCGAGGACAACTCCAATGTCACCTCTGATCACAAGCACTGGGAGCAAACAACTAGACAATGCCCGAAGACAAATTCAGATCCCTCACCTCCCTGGATCAGAATGGGGCCCGGAGAGAAACTATTCTCACCAGAATCTTGGGTCTGCTGTTCCCTCAACCAACGGCAACAGCCAGCCCTCTCCAGATCACTGTGCCAGGGTAGGCCCCAAGGCCCAAATCCACAGCTTGAGGGGGCTCCTGCAAGTCTCCTAAAAATGACTGGTCCGAAAGCCACAGCAAGCCTCTGGCCAAGCAAAATGGCTACAGGAGTTCAAAACCTCCTCCAAGATCAACTTTACACCTAGATCATCAAACCCAGGAAGACTCTGGGTTGCGGTTTTCCTGTAGAACACGCTCCCCAGATGGTTCCAAGATGCTCCTTCCCTCGCTCCTGCCACAGACCTTCCTGTGGGTATCCCCATCTGGGCTTTCCCAGAAGCGCCAGCGAAGCAGGAAGGACGGGGAGCCGGCCCTCACGAGCCCAGTTCAAGGTCCAGCAGCCTTCACTGCTGCCCGGTCTGCCGGGTCCAATCCACACCCTAGCGACTCACCAAGACTCCCATGGGCATCTCCACCAGCCAACCACTCCCAGGCCTGTCTCAAAAGCTAAGAGGTCCTGGATGTTCTTGGGGAAAGTTTGCTTTCTAGAAGAATGTTCAAAAGCAGGAAGGTTCTGGGGTCTAGAGAGAAAAACAGATAGTAATACACTCATGGCGTCATCTGCCAACTCCAAGAACCCTCTCCCCGCCCCAGTCCTCCCCTGCAACGCCCCCAGCCTACTGTTCTCCGGCCAATCCCAAGGGGAAGGGGCTTAGCAGCAGCCGGCATGAGGCCCAGACCACAGGGCTCAGCAGCCACCTGCAGGAGACTCACTTCCTCCTCAGGCAGGCAACCAATGGCTCTGGGACCCTCGCACAAGCCCCCGGCAACCCTCCCCGCCCTCCTAGACAAAAACCACCAATCTCTTTGGCACCACCTTCTACTTGGCATTGGCAACAAACGGGGAGGCATCACCCTCAGTCCCTAGAAACCCTGGTTTCCAGGGGTAAATTTCATCAGAAAGAAAAATCCCCCTGGGGACATACTCCAGAATTTTCCCTGGGCCTTCTTGGTTTCTCCTGCTCCACCCCTTGACCATCAGCTTCACCCACAGCAAGTACAACAATCCCCTCCTTACTCCTCACACGACCCTGCCTCAGCCAAAGCACAGTCCTCCTTTAGGAGGTGACCAGATCCATGTCCCCAGAAGCGCCCCCGCCCACGGCTGGCAGAAGACTGTTGCGAGCATCGGGCATGGTCAAGCTGGCACATTCTCAAGGTCCCCTGCACCCTCCCAAGTTCTACTGGGGGAACCAAGCCCATGGGGTGGGCTGGAAGAAAAGCTGGTGATTGTTAACTCTCATCTGGTCCATCCTGGGGCCTAGTCAGGTTGCTGCACCAGGAGAAATAAGTATTCTTTTAAGTATCAGCCACAACAACCAGGCCTCCCCATAGCAAGCTGGGTGGCCCACACTAAGCCCTCAGGCCTGCCATCTCCGCGGCCACCACACCAACCCCCTGGGTGAAACTTGGGGCCATTGGGAAAGGCAAACGCCTTCGCGTAAGCAGTGGACAGAAGGTCTAGGAAGGCCAGGAGAGCTGGAAAGTCTGTTCGCAGAGGCAGGCCTGTGAAGACCCGTTCCTGACACTGGGGGCTGCGAAGACCATAGCGTTGGCCAGTGGGGGAGGGAGCACCTTGGACTGCCGGGGGCAGCCCCTCCTCCCCGCAGCCCTCCTGGAGTGGTGCTGGTGGACCCAGGCCGGGAGGATGGAGCCCGGCTGGAGAAGGAGGGGACAAGGGCAAGCACCACGGGTTAGGTACAGGGATTCCAATGAGGGAGGGGCAGAGGTATCCCCCCCACCCCCAGCTGCTCCAGCCTCACGCCACCTGCCCCCACATCACAGAGTTGGCAGCAAACTGGGCACGATCTTAAAAAACAAAAACCAAAAAACAACAATCTGACTGGGAAACACATAGCTTGAAGCCCAGGACCAGGCACCTCTAAGAGGCCCAGGAGACTGTGGCCACCAGCTGCGGGCTTCCTCCTGAGCAATGAGCAAGGGATTCAAAGCCTTGGTTTCGTTTGGTCACCAATTACTAATTTACTTTATTCCAAAGATGAGTTTCACTGTCCCATTTTTTTTTTTTTTTTTTTTTTTTTTCCCCAATGGAAGCCCCCTGGCCGAGACAGACCTGGATGTGGATTTTATTTTGGTTGGGGGAGAATAGGTAGGGGGAGTCGAGGGCTGACTTGACTGGTGCCTAGAGTTGCAGGTCAGTATCACAGGTTGCTAACAGAAGAATCTGACATCACCAGGGGCAAAAGAGAGAGAGCGCTACCTGCGAGAGGAGGGCACCTGCGGGAATGAAACCTCCTCCTTTTCCTGCCTTCAGCACCTAGCACCTTCTGGGACTGAGAGTCTACCTGCAATCAGGGCGACAGAGGTAAAAAGCTGCAGGGCCGACGCCACCAAGTCCTGAATCCTGGGGAGGAGGGCGCTGGGAGCCCCCGGCTGTGTGCGTGTGTGAGTGCGCCCAGTCCGCATCGGCGGAGATCGGTTGCCGTGTACGCGTGTGGGACTGATTGATTACTGTGGGGCTTACGTCTGCGGTGGGACCCGAGGCTCAGCACTGAGCCCCCTCGGCCCACTCCCCACTACATAACATTTCTTATACGTGACCCTATCTATGTATTTATATAGCGCCTATCACAGTAGGCCCTATCTTTTCTAGGGATGCGAACTTGGGACCATGTGCTTGACAGCACACCTCCCAGCCCTGCCAGTCCCAGGAGGTGCCATCCCCCCTCCCATTATAAAATATATATCTCTATATGCCACATATCTACACCCCATCTATCCAGGCAAGCATCTGCCCCTTGGGCCCTCACCCTGGAGCCCCCAGTGCTAGCCCAGCCTACCGCCAACGCCGGGCAGCCTGCCGTGGCAGGAGGTGGGACCAAGTGTCTGAGCACTTGGGAGCTCCAGGGGCTGCTGGCTCCGGGTAAGAGCACAGCTATCATCAGACCAAGTACTAGAAAAAAAATACACACCACTCCAATCATACACACGAGGAGAGAGACGGCCTGGTCCTCCCTCCAGCCCTGACACGCATGACTCAGAGGAGGGGAAGTAGAAGAGAAGAGGGACGCGCCCGGAGGGCCGGCCCTGGGGGACTCCCCTGGCCGCCCAGCTGTCGCTGCACCCAGTGGCCCACCTGGCCCGAGGGGTAGGGAGCCAGGGCACCAGGGCCACCGCTAACCTAGAAGCACCCTGCTCCCCGCACCTTGGTTTGAAACCGCAAAGGAGGGGGTTGGGTTTTTGTTTTCTTAAAGAAAAATCTGAAAAACAAACATAATTATAACCAGAACCATAAGAAGAATTAGAACCAAAGGTGTCATCAGCCTCCCAGTAGAAAACTGCAGCCTTTGGAGATGACCAAAAACATCACATTCCAGGGGCCGGAGGCCGCCTTGTGCACAGAGGGTGGACGGTGAGGGCCTCATAAAAGAACACACAAAAGGCGACTTAGACAGGAAAGCACCAGTACGTTTTGTATGTTTTTTTATTTGCTCCAGGTGGGGTTTTAATGGTCACTTGCCCACACTCTGGATTATTTCTGATCCCACCACAAGGAGCCCTCAAATCGGCTAATGTGAGAGATTGGGAATGAAGACCCCTTATCCTGTCATCTTACCGAGGGGGTCTCCTTTTTGAAAAACAAAACAAAACAAAACAAAAAAAAAAAACAAAACCGTCTCAAGGTTATTGCATGAGCCTGGATGAATCCCACTGTCAGCTCTCCACGGGCCGAGCCGGCTCCTCTCGCCCCCACCATGGGCAGGGAGGAGCGGGAGAACGCGGGCCCCAGCTTCTCCCCATCCGCCCTGCTCAGTATCAGGGGAAAGCCCACCGCGGCAACCGCTCACCTTCAAGCTGCCTCCCCTCTCCAGCCTCGGTTAAAACCCTTTGCGCATAAGGCAACGTGGAAGCTGATGTTTTTACTCGTCTCGCTGTTTTAAAGCACCATTATGAATTCGAGTTGCACAGTAGTTAACAGTACCTTTTATATATATATCTCCTATCTATCATATATATATAAACTGTAAACAAGAGGTAACAGCGGCTTCTAGAAACTGATTTTCTTCAAGGTTTCCTGTATGGTAGGCACCTGAAATACTGTGTAAAAGGGTCTTGTGTGTTCTGTCTCCCTGCTGCTAGTTGGGCTCTATTCTGCAGGACCAGGAATGGTGCTGGCAAGACAGCTCAGTGGCTGGGAGGGAATTCTGCCGCTGAGTGTCACTGTTTTCTGTCCCCTGCTTGTGCTCCTATCTGATCAGGCTAGAGACAACAACGGAAAAAAAAAAAAAAAAAAGATATATAGTTTAAAAAAAAAAATCCAATATATAGATTTCTATAGAATTTTCTTTTTTCCTTTTCTCCCATCCTTCCTCTCCCGGTATTGTTACTATTTCTTGTTACTGATTTTTTTTTTTTTTTTTTTTTGCTGCAAAACCCCTCTTGTTCCAGTCACAGCAAGAAACAAAAACCCAAACAAACAGAAAACCCCTCTGAAAAGAGTAGAAAACAAAAGGTTTGACCCAAAAAAAAAGGCGGGGGGGCAGGAGGGAGGGAGCTTGGTTTTGTTTTTTTTTAAATAGGACTGAAGGTTAACATTGAAAAATTAGGAGATGATGTCCAACCCTTTGTGCAAGGCAAAGCCCTCCGGTACTTTCGCCTCTGTGGTTTTTGTTTTAAATTCCTTTTTCTCTTCTGGGTGCTGATACTCCTCTCGATCCTCATGTTGTTGGTGTTTTGTTGTGTTTTGTGGTTTTTTGTTTTGTTTGTTTAACTTTGTATCACTACCTCAGTTTGCCCTCATGTCCCTTACACACAAGCAAAATATTCCTTCAGCGGAGCGAAGAGGTGGCGAATGACCGGCACGCTCCACGACCGGCCCAGCAGTCTCTGCCTCGCCAAGCGGCTCATGTTGGAGACGTCGGTATAGTGGACAGGGAAGCCAAACACCCTGGGGAGAGAAGGCAGAAAGGGTGGGGGTGAGCGCGGGTGGGCGCCATCCGGCTGCGTCTCCTGTCCTGGTCACCAGCCGTGACCCGGGCACCCTGCCACGTGCCGTGGATCTGAAGGGAGAGAAGCCAACCGTTGCCTGGGAGTGGCCACGTGACAGAAACGAAGTCGGGGGGCCCCTGGGGGGCTCAGTGGGTTAAGCCTCTGCCTTCGGCTCAGGTCATGATCTCAGGGTCCTGGGATCAAGGCCCGCATCGGGCTCTCTCCTCAGTGGGGAGCCTGCTTCCTCCTCTCTCTCTGCCTGCCTCTCTGCCCACTTGTGATCTCTGTCTGCCAAATAAATAAATAAAATCTTAAAAAAAAAAAAAAAAAGAAAAGAAACAACATTGGCCCTGGTGAGAGACGCCTCTGGGGCGTGCCCTGCTGGAGAGGGGGTGCAGCGGGTCCCCGAAGTCTGTCCATAATGAACACGAATCCCTAAGACCTCGCCCATGGGAGCAAGAGCTCAACGAAGGAGCCGAACTCCTGCCTGACTAGAGGAGCTCCAGGCTTCTGGCAGCTCTGATCGCCTGTGTCAAGGGTCGCTGTGGTTAACCTGCAGTTCCATGGGGGTGAGGCTGTGCAGTCCCGGTTTGTGAAGTCCCCAAAATGGGCAGCACGAGTGGGGGAAGCTCCTGGAGCTGCACTGTTTACTGGGAGCTTGGCGGGATCCCCTGGGGAGCCACAGCCCCCCAAACCCACTCCTAGACCCCTCTGACCCTGGGCCCGGCCTTACAATGCACAGGAACCTGCCGGGAAATGCTCGGGGAGACCCGCTGCTCACGTGGTATCCGCGGAAGCTATGAGCCCGGCTGGAAGGGGCAGCGAGCCCTCCCTCGGAGGCCGCAACTGCCACGCACCACGCACCCCAGGATGCCAGCACACGGCCTCGAGTACTACCTTTCCATTTCAGTGCACCATAAGATGTCTTCTTTCTCATTCATGAAGACGGGGAAATGCTGGTCTTTGCCCTGCTTTATGGAGTTCGACCTCGTAGTAATGGTCCTCACTTTGCTGAACTGGAAGACGAGGAGAGGAAAAGAGGAATGAGCACTCGCTCGCTGGCCACGCGTCCACCACGTGCGCCAGGCACAAGCCGGGACTGGAGACTCAAACCCGGACCAGGCCCGGTCCACACAGGAGGCTCCGGCGCGAGCCTCCACAGACCCCACTGCCCTGCTCTTCTCCCTGCTCGGAGGTCACCCGGCCACCCTTAGTCCGGTCTCGCTGGTCAAGGACTTGAGAGGGAGCAGCTCAAGCTGCTGAACTTCCTAAGTCTTCTAAGAACGGGTTCTCGCACACGTGTAGCGACTTGCAGGCAAAAGGCTGCCTAATTACTGAGGGGCTCCCGACAGACCCCTGGGGGCACCTGCAGCCCGGATCCCGACGCCCGGTACACACACTCCGGGAGATTTCTCTGGAAAGAAATGTAGCTTCCACGTCGCAGGAGAATGCACCATCCCGAAGGTTCGTCCGAGAGGGCGTGGCCACAACATTTACAAGGCCTAGCAGATCCAGGGACTTCGGCAAAGACTTCTTAAGCCTCTGCTCCTCATGGGACCAGCAGGCGATGCTCAACCAGGACAGACTGAAGACCGGGAAGGATTTCTGATCTCACTCTCCTTGCCCTCCAGGCTCTCCCCTGGGCCCTCTCCTCTGGCCCAGTGGTTGCACGACTCCGGGGCCACCTCAACTGTGTTCTCCGCACCCGCTGCCGACACAGGCCTGGAGAGCGCTTGGGCTCGGCCTGCCCTCTCGGGCCTTCTCCCTACCCCCTAGCCGAGAGAGGGCTCTGGCGCCGGGGCTGACCTTGGCTATTCTGCCGTGCTCCAGACACTCCTGCAGCTCCAGCTTATCATTCACAGTGGATGCCAACGGCCTAGGAGGCAGAAAGAGAAGGTGACGACAGAGATCGGGAGGGAAGTGGCCGGCAGTGTGGGCCCGGCTGCCAGGACTCACACGGAGAGGTAAGGGAGTACCGTTGTCAGCCGCACACATCGTAACCCCCTTCAAACTCCCCAGAACACACGCACACACACTGCAGCCCTCCACAGACTGTCCAAGCATTAGCCCTGAAACGTCAATTCCACGGCGTCTCAATCTACAAATAAGGAGATAACACCAGCCCAGAAGAAGGAAAACCCAACAACTTCTCGCCGGTCATAAAATATACTGAGTTCTAAAAGTATCTGTCCCAGAGGCGCCTGGGTGGCTCAGCTGGTTAAGGGCTGACTGCGGTTAGGGTGACGATCTAAGGGTCCTGAGATGGAGGCCCACTTCGGGAATCGGCACTGAGTGGGGCGTGTGCTAGTCCCTCTCCCTCTGCCTTCCCCGGACCCATGTGCTAACAAACAAACAAAATCTTTAAAAAAAAAAAAAAAAAAAGTATCCGTCACAAAGCAAGCTTTGGGGGTGACCAACTGTTCTGCATCTTGACCAAGGTGATGGTTGCATGGGTGTGTACACGGTGAAACTCATCGAAGCATGCACCTTGACTGTACGGTTTACAAGGCTTTAACCTCTGCACAGTCCCCAGAAGACTACAATTCTGTGACACTGAAGGTGTCACTTCTCAGAGGGTGAAGCAGATCACGGAATGTCACCTTTGGCGCTGACCTTTTCTGACATTTCACACAGCAGCCTACCATCTCAACGTGGGGACCCAAAGGGACCCGTGGCCAAAGTGCACGCCCCCAGCCTCCGCCCTGTTCACGCGCACACACAACGGTCTGCAGGTCAGCCATCCCACTGACAGGCCTCCTTCCCATCAATAAGCCTTCACAAAAGACAGCAGGTTTGTAAAGCAGGTATGAGACTCAGGATGTTCCTACAATTTTATGCTAAGGGCCCAGAGGGAGTGAAGACTGAAGCCAGACTACATGAGGGGAACAATTTACAGGTACAAGGTTGATAATGCCCTCTTAGAACATTCTGGAAAACATTTCCCTGCGTAACAGATATCCAGACTGGGTAGCTCTCACTCGGCTCCTGAACTGCTGTCTCAACCACCATTCCTTTCTCCTCATAGGCCTTTTTATAATCCAAATATTACACTGAAGAAATGAAGTTATCCTTCTTCCCGGACATTAATATCTCTACCCTCGGAACCTAAATGAAGACCATCCTCCCAACAGAGGACCTGAAGCCACAAAGTGCGTGGCTACTAAGCAAAGCAGGACTGTCGAAGCTGCACAGAGCAGGTGCGGCCTGGCCGTGGGCACCACTCTTCCCCATCCCGACTCCACCCTCCAGAGTTTCACCTCTGGAGGCTAAGGACAAGACGACTCTAGATCGGTCACCAATGGCACCATAACTGGCCATGTGACTCAGCAGTGTGGGGAGTCTCCTAGTTCAACTGCTAGCCATTGGTTTCTCAGGCAAATATTTTCTATACCTCGACTCCCCTTCTCCCGCAAAGGGAAGGAAACAGAACATGGTAGAGCAGCAAGCCAGCGAGCAGGGGAGGGGGCCCCCGAGGCCCACTCAGTGACCTCCTCCCCCTCGGGCTGAGCTGCCTGCAGATGCCAACCCGCTGCCACCCCAGGCCCAGGCACGCTCACCAACCTGTTCATACCAGGAAGGTTCCCCCAGAAGTAGCGGGCCCTGTGTGCAGCGGACACTTCTTTGGCATCAATCATCACAGGGTTGGACTACGGAACAGGAGAAAAGATGAAAGATGAGCGAGAGAGGAAGGGCAGACAGTGCCAGGACATCTTGCTTGTTCAGAGCCTTACAGCCTCAAAAGCGCTTGCTTCCTTTCTCAGGAAGCCTCGCAGTAGGACAGCCTGAAGCCTCCAGGAAAAGCCAGAATGGGACCCAGCCACATTACACATGCTCTCGTTAGAACATTCTAGACCACTGCAGCCTAACCACACATTCTGGGGTGACAGACAGGTGTTCTGTCTGCACTGCTCCGTGGAGTAGATGCAGGGGGCTAATGAGTACTCGAAATGAGGGAGTCTGAATGTTAATTTAAATACCGCACGTGGCTGAGGGCTACCCTAACCGGACAACGTAGCTTGAGCTCACCCAGAGGCTCTGAGCCAGAAAGTTCCAGTGAGTGTGGATGTGTTTGCTCTATGTCCAGATTATGAGCCAAATAGACACTTGCTCACACTTAAGAACACCAGCTCGAGGTGTTACTGACCCCCAAGACCCTGGAGAATGGGCTCGATCTCCCAGCCTGCCCACCCACCCTGAGAACGCCTCTGACCACAGAGACTCTCTCTGTGCTCAGACCCAGCTCCGCACTGACACAGGACCCACATTATGGGGGAATGAAAACAGGTAAGCCATGTTTTTTACTTTCCAGGTGCCAAAGAGCATCTGTCACAGTGCCAGGGAGCAAAGACAAGCCATTCTGGTCGGGGAAAACCAATGTAGCCATCTCAAAGTTTCCCCCAGGGAAACACCACTCAGAACCCTAAACTCTAGAAGACTAGCACCCCACCCTACTGGGAACAGTCGAGTCCTTGAAGACCTGAGGCCCGCACCCATACACTACCTCTTAAGAGTCAGACCACAGGCTCTTTCCAAAGGCGGCCTCTACCAGTGTTTCCTCCCTGTCTAACGGAGAGGCCCACGGGCTTCCCGAATAGCCCCCTGGCAAAGCAGAAGTCACGTCCCCAGCTCCACAATGCAGATGAGACAGGGATAAAGCAGCAGTCCAAGGTAGAAGCCATTAGTGAGCTGGTCAAACCAAGGTTGCTGGCTATACCTCGAGAAATCGCGAGATGTCCCTCTTGTCACTAACGCCCATGGCCACCACATTCTCAAAGAGCCAGAAGAAGGGGCGATCATCTCCCTCCTTGGGCCGCGCATCATGCAGGAGGCGGTAGAACTCAAAGAAGAGCCGGCCAGTGCCCTCTGAGAGGTCGGAAGAGAAAGCCGTCAGCGGGGGCTGTCTGCACGGGGCAGTGGTGTGGCTCGGGCACAGGGAGGGCAGGGGAGGGCAGGGCCGTCGGGAGTAGCTGTCCCAGGGCAGAAGTGTCCAAGGAGGAAACCTACGTGCGGAAGCACCAGCTCAGAGGGCGGAGGGGTGAGCGCAGCACCTACCGTAGAGTCCTTTCCGGGCAGGGTTGACGATGGAGAGGTCATTGCAAGGGCTGCCCCCAATCACCAGATCGAATGGGCCCCACTCCTGGATCTGGGAGGATAAAGGCAAGGGGATGGCCTGATGTCCGGGGGACGGAGGCAGAAAGGAAGAAGGAAATCATCTGTGGACTTGGCCAAAAAAGGACTTTGGCACCAGAGAGAGACGACCCAGTGGCTTCGTATGTTCACTGTATCCGTTCATAGGTACATACTACACACACACACACACACACACACACACACACACACGCAGCACCAGGTCAAATCACAGAGCTGCTCTGAGCTCGGGTTCTTAAACAAAGTGAAAGGATCCAATTGGATCATCTCTGAGGCCAGCAGGGAAACCATGTGCCCCCAACAGGAAAGGCAGCCACTTAAAGGGAAGATGGTCCTGGCTGGGCAGCTGTCTGGGGAGGCGCTCTGCTCCGTGCACTCTGGGCAGGGCATCGGGGCCATCTGAACGCCCTCCAAAGGCCCCTGGAGGCTGGTAAACTTGTTGCCAAGTGGATCAGAAAAATGGGAACCAAAGGTCTCTGCTACAAAGGCCCTGAAGCTAGCCAGGGGGCGGTGGGAGCCTCCGGAGGCCAGCTCCCGGTTCCTCTTGGAACCTGCCCCTTTTCCTCTCCACACAAGGAGGAACATGGCAGCTGAGGAGACTGGGGAAAAGGCCAAAGGAAGAGAGTCAACAAGCAAAAGGCAAGGGGGCTGTGGCTGCCCCCAGGAGCAAAGTGGGAGGGACACAGAGAGGGTGGGACGGGCCCCACGACACGGACATACATGCTTCTGTGTGACGCTGCGGACGTCCCCGACGTACATGATCTTCCCCTGGTGGCGCACCATGCCCACTGTGATGGAGTCCTCGCACACCTCGGAGGCGATGTAGCGGTCCACCTGAATTCCCAAGTCCTTCAGCACCAGAAGCCCTGCGCCAGCCAGCGAAAGGCATGGTCACAGGGGCTCCTTCCCAGCACCCTGGTCTGGGTGGGGGGCGGGGGGGTCTCTCTGGCCAGCTGGACATGTGGGTCAGCAACAGGCCTGAGCCCGACCTTGCCCAGTGAGCTGCAGGATCCTTCAGGAGCCTATCTGATGCCTACTTTGGTCTACTTAGGAGGCCATCAAGACCAGACAGTAGGTGGTTTCCAGAACCAGAGAGAACAGCAGGTGACTTTTGGGGTGGCCTTTTCTTTGCTGCTCCTACCTCCTGCATAGACACTCCTTCCTCACCCCACCCCCCGCCCATGGCCTCCAGCTGCAATTCTCCCCATTCTCCAAGACTCAACACATACGCCACCACCGGCTCCATAAAGATTTCCCCAACAGCACCCCCCACTGCACCCTGCAGCCCCCTACAAGCAACCCCTTTCCTAAGGCCCCAGCACTTTGCATTTCTCTCCCACTCCTCAGAACACTGTACACTAATACGGCCCTTGTCTTAGGTTGCAAATGCTCTTCAGAACAGAAAAGCTCATCCATGTTTCCTCCTGAGCAAACTACACTCACTTCCTTACCACGACCCCCTCACAAATGTTTGCTGGATTGCGGGCAAGGAAACGAGAACTCTGAGAGCCTCTGGAGAAACCGGGCTCAGGGGCGCCTGGGTGGCTCAGTGGGTTAAAGCCTCTGCCTTTGGCTCAGGTCAGGATCCAAAGGTCCTGGGCTCAAGCCCCGCATCCAGCTCTCTGCTCGGCAGGGAGCCTGCTTCCCCCACCACCCCCGCCTGCTTCTCTGCCTACTTGTGATTTCTGTCTGTCAAATAAATAAACAAAATCTTTAAAAAAAAAGAAAGAAAGAAAGAAACCGGGCTCAGCACCACCACTTCCACTCCTCCCACCAACCTCCCCACCGAGGAGTTTTTATAGCCTCTCAGGGTGTGGCGTGGTTTAAGAGGGCCTTGAGGTTCTGGCCTGGGAAACCAAGGCTGTAAATTCACTTCCCTGGGTTTATAGAATATCAACACCAAGCTGAGCACAGAATATAAACAACTGGCCTGGGGTGCCACCCCGCCCGGGCCCCCTGACAGCCTGTCCCCCTCTGGTCCCGTGAAGACACCCCATCCGAGGAAGGTTATTCCCCTCCGAGGAGCCATCGGCCTGGGCACATGGCAGGAGGCTGGGTCTGAGTCAGGAGCGCCCTCCGGGAGGGCTCTTGGGCAAGGTCAAGAACCACGTGAAACCACCTTCCTACCCAGTGCCCCAGCTCTCCCTACAAGAGAACAGTTTACGTGTATAATAACGTGTGTCTGAGGATGCTTGTCACAGCACTGCTCGTAACAGAGAAAACAGTCAACGACCCGACAGAGGGTTAGTTACGTAAATCATGGCACCTTCCACTCAGTGAAACCTTATGCGACATTTACAAATAAAGGACACCATTCCGTGTCAACATGAAAGTCACGACAGCAAATGAAAAAGCGAGTTACCACACACTGAGTTTTACTATCCTCTCGTTTTATTTTTCTATCTATGTAGGATTCTAGAAACACACATACATATATGCATGCAAAAAAAAATTAAAAAAAAAAAAAACAGAAAAGGAAACACACCAAAACGCTCATGATAGGATTACGGGCGATTTAACTATTCTTCAGACTCTCACTGATCGTTTTTTGATTTTGTTTTGTTTTCCTACCATGACTTACAGTCACTGTAGCCTATGTTTTTGTTCTGGTCGCCGAGTCTGTCCTTTGAGGCTTTGTGAAAGTCTTCAGTAATCTCTAACGATCACCCGGTCCTACATGGGATGGCCCTCCCCCGCCACCCACAAAGACACGTGCCCCCCCCCCGCCAGACACGGTGGCTGACCACGGATTTTACTTCTCACTCAACATGAAAGTTTCCTCGGCGGAGAACTATTTCAACGGCTGTCCCGTTAACTATCATTTGGTTTGGCCAGCGTGAAACACACGCGGAGCTCCCCCACCTGGGATGGGGACGGCAGCATCCTGTGGGGCTCGTGGGGCCTCGCGCTCACCTGTAGCAATTCCGTCAAATAGAGACAGCACCCGGATGGGCTTCCTCTTCTCGGCTGGGACAGGTGGGTACACCTTCGGGGGGTCCTAGGTGGCGAGCACAACGGGCCAGGTGAGCGCCCGAGGCTGACCCTCCCAGCCCACCAGGACGGCTCTGGCTTCAGACCCTCCCCCACTGCGAACCGGCACCCCGGCAAGCAGCTCAGGCCCCTCCACCCGGCCGGCCCCCGTGCCCTCCTGCTTGGCTGCGCCTGCGCTCGGGCTCCGGCAGGTACGGGGTAAGAAGAGGCGGCCCGGGGCCTGGCACTCACAAATTCCTGGTCGTGGTTGTTGGCAAAAAACATCTGGAGCCGCGAGGGCCAGTCATCCCGCCGCCGCAGCAGCCCGTAGGTGCCCTTGTGCCCGCACATGTAGCAGTTCCAGGGGTCCTCCTTGATGGCGGCCTGCGCAGCACCCGGCCCCACCAAAAGGTCCACACACTCCACACAGAAGCACCTGGAAGAAAGCCCAGTGTAGCAGGGGGGGAGGGGGCCCCTCTCGGCCCCCGAGGGAGCCGGGGCTCGGGAGAGGAGGGGGTTGGGGGAGTCGGGGGGCCTCACCTGCAGCAGTTGTTGTTCCCACACATGAGCACCTCGCGCCCCCCCGCAGCAGATGGTGCAGTAGGACTGGTAGCCGTCGTCATCGTACTGGTACGCGCACTCCAGGAAGCAGTTCTGGGGGGGCAGGGCGGGGGGCGGTCAGAGACCACGGGGCAGCACCCGGCCGGGCCAGGCCAAAGGAGGCAGGCTTTTCGCCCAGCCTCTGGGCCCTCGCCTGGGAACCACAGCGCGGCCTTGCACAAGGGAGCCCGCCCCCTACTGCGCCGCATGTGCGCGGCAGGGCCGACAGGTGTGCTGACCCAGAGCTTGCGCGGAATCGGGAAGCCCCCAGACAAGGTCAGGGAGGCAGCTGCACCCGCCTTGTCCCTCGCTGCAGCCCCGGGCTTTCCTCTTGGGTCCCCAAGGATGTGGGAGCCCATCCCCCCATCCGTCAGTCTGTTCTCCCCTCACCCCTGCCCCACATGAGGGACTGTGACACTGTGACAGAATGGGCTTTCGAGGGGGACAGAATCTTTCTGGGAAGGACAAATAAGAGCAAGTCAAACACTTCGATGCCCAAGGACCCATTTTATCAGGACTCTGCGTCCAGAGAGGACTGCAGGGTCACCATAGCAGCTACTCTAGGCGACAGTGAGCCCCACAAGGGGGGCAAAGGCGCAGACCACCGGGGGCCTACCTTACAGTTTTGGCACATTCCTCCGACGAAGAGAGGGTGTTCCAGGGTGACGTTGAGGCTCCCACAAGAGATGCAGATGTCTGGAAAACAAGGGGAGGAGAGAAAACAGAGTGAACGTCTTCAAAGGGCCCCTTCCCACCTTGGGGCCCAAGTTCAGCTCCAAAAAGGCTGTAAGAAAAGGGCGTGCTTAAGCAGCAGCCCAAGGAGCCAGCCAGGAGTCTAGGAGGGTGTCCCATGATACAGAGGGGCCATCGTGGCCCCAATCGCGATGTCCGTCCAGCTCTCAGAGCAGCAAAGCCGCCCACCCAGGAAACGCATAATTCAAGAACAGGAACCTGCCTCTGAGAAGAGGGCTTGGACCCTGGCTGTCTCTGCAGACAGTCCCTGGGCAGTCCTTCAGTCTTACACTCCTGTCCCCATCTCTGCCAGCTCTCAGGTGCGCTAAGGACCACTGGGTAAGAGCAGGTGAGGAAGAGTAAAAGGCCAAAGGTCACAAGCTCAAACAAATCCAAGAGAGGCCACCCTTCTCTGACCCACCGGAGTTCTCAAACCCTAATGACCAGCACGTGTCATTGAAAGGAAAGTAAGACGGTAGCACCAGGAAGACAGCCGTGTGGGTGAAGCATGGAGGGGTGGTGGGACGGGCCGGACAGAGGCCTTCACTGGGTACAGGTGTCCCGTGACGCTCGAACTTTCCTAAGTGCCTAGGCTAGTCTGCACCAGGCCCTGCGCTAGGAGCCTCCTGCCTGTCCTGGGGGCAACAGACCACGGACCTCCCAGGGAGTCAGTGGCCATTGGGACTCACCCTCGATATTTCGGCACTTCTGCCGCACCTCGTACACCAGCCGCTCTGCGGAGGGGAGGAGAGCACAGCGTCAGCGGCGGCCGTGAGGGCCATGCCCGCGCCTCTGAATGCCAGCCACTCTCTGCAAGGCCAGGCCAACTACCTCTTGTGCGTTCGTCAATTATCTCCTTGACCTTCGGCTTCTCCGTTGTGCTCTTCCGGGGCTTTTTGGCGGGTGGGGGTGGGGCATAGGCAGCTGCCTCGGGTTCGACCCACATGTCTGTGTAAACTTCTTTGTAGGGGTTCTTCTCTTCTGGATGGGGAGAGCAGGTGACGGGATCATGGTTACTGGCTCCCTCCCCTCCTCTACTCTGCCTACAGAGGGGTGCAGCCTGGCCCCCAACTTGTTTTAACTCCCAGCTCTCCAGTGCCAGCCAGCCAAGGGGAGGAGCTTATCCTGAGTCCCAGGGCAGCCCCGCCCCTATCCTGACCCCACGGAAAGGGAGACCCATAGCCGCTGCCCTCGGCCTCTCAACCACAGGGCTGGCAGTGCTCTCCAAGCAGGGCCTTCCCAGCCCTGGCACGGAGCTGCCCGGCTGGCAGGGGTCCCAGAAGGCTGGCCCAGGCACCTGCATTTACCTTCGGGTGGCTCCAGGCCCTTGGGGCCAGAGGGCTGGAAGCCTCCGAGAGCCCATTCGATCATCTGTTTGTTCTGCACCTCCACCGCCTTGGCAGTGTCGCTCTCGTCGCCGTCGTGGCAGGCCGGGAACAGCTTCCCCGCGCGGCTGCTGGCCACCTGGAGGCAACACGCAGCGGGGAGGGTATGAGGACAGGCTGGGGGGCAGCAAGGGCCGCCTGAGGCAAGAGCTGGGAGAAGGGGCGTGCAGAGAGGGGTGAGCCATGGGTGGGGGGACACGGGGGACAAAGGGAGTCTCAGGGCCTGGTGGGTGGACCCTCTGCCTAACCGCTGTACTCCACCTTCTAGACCAGCTAGGAGTCCCTGCTGCCCAAGCCCCCTCCACCCAGAGGGGCGCTCACCTGCAGGACTTCGTAGATGGCTTTGCGGTACATGGGCTGCTTGTTGTAGGTGGCCTGGTGGAAAGCACTGCAGAAGGAGCTTAGCGGCATCAGCTTCTCGACACACACCTGGAGGAACCACCAATGCCCTCGCTTTCTCCTCCTGCCACACCTGTCAAGCCCCCACCATGTGCCTGGCAATGGGCAGGGACTGGGGCATCGAGACAGTCTCTGCCCTTGAGGACCAGATGGATTGATACATAATTCCATGATGCTCAAAGGAGGAGTCTGACCCAAACGTGGGAGAGGACCAGAACGCAAGCAGGAAAGGAGCTCTGGAGAAAGCATCCTGGAAGGCAAGAGCTTGGCAGACACCCCAGCTCTCTGAGCCCCCCAGGGTGGCCCACTTCTCTCTAGGGCTTCTTCTGATCCCACGTGGAGACTGGCGGGGGTGGGGGGCACCAGCAGAGCCCAGTCCTTCCACCCCAGTTCCCCCAACCCCAAACCACAGGCCCTGGGACCAAGACCCGTCCCTCCCCGAGGCTACCGCCGAATCCCACGACTTACCACTGAGAACTTGCCGTCTCCAAACCACATGACCCAGCGCGTGCCTTCAGCTGCTCGGCTCCGGCCCGTCATCCACCAAGACACAATGCGGCCTGGCCACCAGGAGAAGCCCCGAAGTTTCCCCCACACCAGCTCCCCAATGCCAAAGCCCCGGCCGTCCTGGAGCCCCAAGGAGCAGAAGTCATTACGTGGCGGTCACGAGGCCCTGCCACCCTGACCCCCCCGTGGCAACCCCAGCCCTGGGCATCTGAGGGTCAGGACAGCCAGGAGGGAGCTCCATCTGAACCGACTGAGACAGAGCGAGACTGGGGAGACGAAGAGGCCTGGGGTCAGGTGGAGAGAGGAGAGCAGGACGGGAAGAGCTGGCAGTGGAAGGACCCAGGAAAGAGCTGGACGAGGCAGGTGAAGAAGTGAGCCGCTCACCTCGTACTCCGGCTCATCATCCGCGGCTTTGGTGGCGTTCTTGTCCCCCGCGTCCGCCCCCACGGGCTCAGGTGTGGTGGCCACTGTGGGGGAGGCGGGGTCGGTGGGCTGCTGCACGGCAGGAGGGCTGGCCTCCTCTACCTTCTGAGACTCGCCCGAGCCCTGGTTTTCTTCCACAGCATTCATTACTGCGATCACCTTGGCTTTCTTCTCAGCCTGGAGAAATAAGGAACAAGAGTTACCTTGACCTCTCCAGGTCACTTGACACTGGGGCGGGGGGCCCTCTCCTCCATCTCTCTGTGGTCTGGAGACAATGACAGGAGGTGAAGGACTGAGTTCTTTGCTCATCAACTGGCTTGCCACGGAAAATGGGAAAATCTGAAGTTGGTCTGTGACCTCCAATCATTTGGCTGGTTTCCAACCTTCTCTTGTGCCGCTCACGAACACTTCCTCCATAGGTCAGCCTCGGTCAGCGGCCCACCCTCTGACACGGCAAGACTGAGTCTATCCAGAGAGTAATCGTGAGGCTTGGCTTGGCCACAGATCTTGGCTCCATCCTCTGCTACCTTACTTCCCAATCACGAACTGGATCCTCTCGTCCTTTTTACAATTTTCCTGGGCAATCAACCCCTTCTATTCCTGGTCTTGGCTTCCAGTCCACACATCCAGTCTGGTCGTGATGTCTATGTGATGAAATCACTGCTCTGGGCCCCCCTCTGCTCAAGCCCCGTCAGAGCCTGCCTGCTCCCATGCCATTCCAAAATCTTAAGATTATATCAAATGTATGTTATCAGATTCGCCCATTCTTTCTACACACGCCTTTTTGATCCATCAATACATTTTTTCTTTCAACAACGGTTTGCTGAGAACACACTACGGGCCACACGTCCTCCCTGCCAGCCGACTGATAAATTAACAACCCAAACCCAATCGTGCTCGCCTTTGGACAGCCACGCTCTTCCTTCCCAAAACCTGCTCCAGGATTCCCATCACCCTACAGAAGAGAATGAAATCCTTGACCCTTAGCTCTGAGAACCATTCAACCTAACTTCACCCCAGTGACTGAACCTGAGGGACCCGGGAACTCAAACTTTAAGTTTCTGCACCTGTTCCCACCACATTCAGTGAAAAACTTCCCATCTCCAACATGCCTTTCAACAAGAAGCTTCCCCAGAGAGTTTAGAGCTGGGAATGTAAGCCCACCCTCAAGACTGAAGAAGAACATCAGAAAATAAGTCGGAGTCTAAGAACTCTGAGCTAGACACAGGAGCATGTGCATTCCCGGCTTTGCCTGGCAACTCACGGAACAGCAAATTCTAGAGCAATCCTCACTCTTCCAAGTTGCTCCGACCTAAAAAAGCATTTCATCTAAAGGATTTCCACTCAACTTTTCTGACTGGTTTAAGAATCTGATATATGTTAAGTATCAAGAACGCCAAGGAGTCTCCAAAGTCGCCCACGGACTCCCAGATCCGAGGGCGCCAGGTTAAGAACCTTTGTGTTAAAGCTCCAAGGTCTACTGTGTGGCAGATTCATTTCTGTTTCCATCTCAAGCCTCCAGGTCACCAACCAAACCTGCTTCTGGTGGAGCCCTTCAACACTGAGGATGGAAATCCTAGTTTTCTCCCTGACTCAACACATTCTAAGCTGAGATCATGAATCCTTTGCCCCCAGCCCACAAACAGCTGGGAAAATGAGCCGGAAGCCAGCAGGGGTGGGGGGGGGGGAGAGAATTCAGAGCAACTGTTCTCCCCTCCCAAGCAAGCCCCTCTCTCACCTGCTGGGACTTTGCCCTTCCCTCCCTACCATCATTTATCTACCACTCCCTCCCCCATAAGATGCACCTAGGTGTGCACTCAAGCCCATCCTCTTCTAGAATCAGCTGTGGCAGCCCTACAGGAGCCCCAGGTCGGCTCACAGAGAAATACCACGCCTCCTTGAAATTCAGGCATGGGTGACTGATCTAGACCAGGGTGCTGCATGGGTGACCCCAAGACCTTCAGGGGTGATGAAGCCCCTGGGGCCAGAACAAGGTGCAGGTGGCAGAGGGCGGGAGGGGCCTTCCGAGGAAAGGTGAGGTCACCTGCACCGCAAGCAGCAGCGGGTGGGCGCCAGGCTCCCCGGGTCTAGAAGGGAATCGTGCCTGATGCCACCCTCCTCACTCCCCCACAGCCCCTTTGTCTCTCTTTTCAACCCCACTACAGCGAGTTCCCGAACATTATTCTTCCCCCTCAACTTCCCCCAGCTTGTCAGATGCTGCTGCTGACGGCTGTTCAGCGCCCCCAACCCACTGGGTGCAGGAGAACACGCACCCAGCAGGGTTTTGGCAGGCGGAGGAGGAGGAGGAAGGGGGCCTCCATCGGGACAAGGCCAGCAGGGGTGGGGGAAGGAGGAAGGGGGGGGGTGGGTTAGCAGCGGGAGGCAGGAGGAAAGGGGAAGAAGTGGCAGAGACGGTGGCTGGGTGGGGGAGGGGCCTCATTAGAATAGTCTGCCGAGGGCAGTGTGGGAATGCCTTTTTTCCACGCTCACTCCAACCCTCCTCCCCAGGCAAACAATGGGAGAGAGAAGGGTTAACTCAGGGCTTTGGCATTTGGGCTAAAGTCTCCTACCCCCAGTTCCCCAGGTCCTACTCCAGAGCGGCACAGAGGTGGGGCGGGACCAGGGAGACACCATACCACCCCCAACTACCGTGGCTCAAGGAAGTCACTTCGTCTGGAGTTTGTCCAGCTGGGAAAGCCAAGGGTAACCCCACACTAGCAGAGGCAAGGCCTCCCCGACCAGTCCTGTCTTCCTGGGCAGCTGTCCCGCCTCCACCTCCCTCTGCTTCCCGTTCCAAAGGTCAGAGGTCTGGGCGCCCATGCGGACTCCCCACTGGCGCAGTGGATCCCAGGCTGTCCCGGGCCGCTGTCGGGCTGCCCCTCATGATACCCGCTCATGGGCCCCGGCCCCTGTCAGGGTCCCACTGCCCCCCCCCCACCCGGCACCACTTCTGCAGGCCTGCCTGCTGGCTCCCAGGGACACGCACAGAAGAAATGGTCCCTCCCAAGAGACTGCAAGGTGGGCATGGCCCGAGGACTGCACTGGTGCCACAGCCAGCAGCACAGGTCAGCAAGGAAGTGCCAACAGCCCATCAGCCAGCCAGCTGGGGAGAGGCGCTGCTTGCAGCCCAAATCCTGGGCTCCCAACTCCCTGGGGCCAGGGCCTGCCCCTCAGCCTTCAGTGACTACTGCCCCAGGCTCCCACGCTGGGGCTGCTGCTCTGGGCTCTGCACCGTCACGTCCCACCTGAGCGCTGGGAAGAGTGGGGCTTGGGGCTCCTGCGGAGGGAGTGGGTGGGACAGCACTAACTCAGCATCTCCAGAACTCAGGCCAGGCAGAGCAGCCAGCTCCTGCGGGCCAGGGAAGCATACTTTGACTCTTCTCAAATCCAGAGGGCTGCAGCGGCCCAGAGATCCTCCCACCGGCCCCTGCCGCCTCCCCGCCCCCAGTCTCCCCAGGGCTCCGTCCAGGAACCTACCCATAAGGCCAGGTGCAGCCCCTCTGTGGTCCGGCTCAGGTGTGAGCCCCGGCCCTGAAGCTCTGTAAGTAGCTGCCCGTCTGGGGGGAGGGGATGGGGGCGATGGGGCTGGGGGCGGAGGGGGCCAGAGAGAGGGGGAGGGGGGGAGGTGGGGGGGGAGGGCTTGAACATTTTCTTTGTCTAGAACTCCAGGTCACGTGGGCCCCGCTGGAGTGCCTGGTTGGCTGCAAGCGGGCCGGGGGAGGGGGCCGGCTCTCAGACGCTGGCAGTGGGCCAGCCCCTCTCCTCCAGTCCGAGGGGCGCGGGCCGCCGCTGGGGCCTGGGGGCGCGGCTGGGCCTCCGCCCGTTCCCAGGACCCCGCCCAGGCCGGGCTGGAGGCGGCGCCGTCCCCTCCTCCGGGCTGGCCCTCCCGCCCCCTCTCCCCCAACTCTGCGAGAGCTCGGAGGGGCGCCGTGGGGCGAGGCGGGGAGCCGGCAGAGGCAGGGAAGGGGACCGGGAGGGAAGGGGCTGCTCTGCGACGGCGGAGGTAAGCCGGGAGCGCGGAGAGAGCCAGGAGCGCCGGCAAAAGAAGAGAGGAGGTTGCGGACGGCCTGGGAGAGCCAGGAGAAAGTTGTTAAAAGTCAGTCTCTCGGAAGCACAACCAAAAAAAAAAAAAAAAAAGGAAAAGAAAAGAAAAAGCTTACAGATGAGCGTAGAGGCCCAGGAAGCTGGAGGGAAAACTCAAAGCACACAGAGGCGGACAGAAGGCGCCTGCAGAAATTGGGAGCGCTCCAGAACGAGAACTGCTGGGGAGAGGGCTGTCCTCTTCATACTACAGGTGGATAGAAAGGGGTCCCTTAAAAGCGTGGCTTGAGTTCAGGCTTTGAAAACCTCTTTCTGGTCAAACCCCTGGGTCCCCTAGGTCACTCAGCATCTGTGCTGAATGTCCCATTTTCCTGTGTGCAAGGTGATGGTGGGGAGGGCACACCCGAAAAGTTCGGCAATTTCTCATCCCTGGGCACAACCATCTGCGGCTCAAAGAAACGACTTTCCTCGCCTGGAGCCTCCAGGTGCAGCCCCCAGGTGCAGCCTCAACCAATTCGAGTTCCCTCCTCCCGAGCAGAGGTCCCTCCCCGCAAGGAGGCGCGCGCGCGCGCGCACCACACACAGCTCCACCCACATCCCATACAGAAGCAGACCGTCTTGGCCCCGCCTTCAAGGAGTTGACAGATTCAACTACACTTGGGGAGATAGGAAAAGGTCATTGAAAAACATCTGTGAAGATAACTATACCACAAATACCAAGACCCACCGACCTGGCTGGCTTGAAAGCCACCAGAAAAATGGCTAATAGGAATGATAAATGAGGCTAAGGAGGGCAGTGCAAAGCAGAGATGAATCCGATTGGAATGAGGTAAGACAGGAAGGAAATAAAGAGATCTAAGGCTGGAATGGGAGTAAAATCTGTGCCCACCTCCACCTGCCACCTCCCAGTACGACTCAGGCTAAAGGCTGCTGAGAAGGAGGCCAATGGAGACATCCTAGAGCAGCGAAGAAAAACAGCAGACTTTCTGAGAAGACCAGATGAACAGATATTTTGGAAAGATCAGCCTGGTTTCAGTTTGCATGACGAATCGGAGGAGCAGAGGAACTGAACGTAATCGCTCAGGGCAGCAGAGGGCCTTTTAGCCAGCAGCACCTGTCGGAAGATATGGTCCTGG